CCTATTGGTACAGAGCAGCTATGAAATTCATTTGTACAGCAGAACATTTCAAAAGAATGGCGATGCTAGTAAATGGAGCTGCGTAAAAAGAGTAGACAGCGAACAGACTTCTAAGGCATTTTTCGCAAATTCTAGAACTTTGAAGGATTGTGAGGAGAAAAGGTGTCGCTCGTGTGGGGAGTAAAGTATATGCGAGATAGGACAGCCTGCTGCTGACAGTGTTTAAAGCTAGTCCGGAGGAGCCTGCCGACCTTTTTTATCAATGTCCTAAGGGTCACACGAGGAGAAGATCGCAGAGGTCACGAGAACATCACCGAAGTATCGGCGATGCGTCCATCATAAACTCTTGCTCGTTACCGAGTCTGCCGATCAGGTAACGAAAAACAGAGGGGCCCGTCACGATCCTCAGCAATCGGCTATAGGCCACCATTAAGAAGAACTTTAATAGCCTAGGACCACAAGGTTCGGTGGAGGCCATGATTGACGCGCTCGATGCAGTTCGCATAGACACGAAGGAGAGAACGCGATGTACGAAGTAAACGAATACTACTGAAAAATAGCATAGCATGTAAAAACTCGGCGGTGTCTTATAACAGTTGCCTTGTGCTAGTCTCAGCTGGCCTGGTGACTATATTGGTCTAACTTCTTCTTAAACGTGTCCACGGGTGGAGCCATGATAATGTCCGCAGTCAGAGCATTCCATGCCTTACTTACGCTCTTAGAGAAGAAGAACTTGCATGGGTCCAATATTGCCCCAGTAACACGTAGTTTGAAAGGATGTCCACGCAAGTTAGTGGTCGTGGCCAACTGAAAGGAATCGTTGGATGCGAGGCAGCAATTTTGAATCCGCAGCATGCGAAATACCTGCCGGGTCCAATTAAGTAGGAGAAACCTATGTAGCTGTCTGTTTAAGATTTCTCCCTTTTGCTAAAGTATGTGTATGCTGCTCCAAATCGGATCTAAACGGGAGACAGACGACAGTGCTGTGGGGCACAATAGGAGGGCACAACCTAATTTGATGACGCCAAATGAGGCAGAAAAGGCCTTCGTGAGTGTGCTCTCCGTCTGTCGGTAAATAGCATTTGGTAGCCTATTTATCCTTATCTGCATTACACGAAATCTTGTCGCTAACATGCCCTGGGAGAGAGAGAGTAGGGGGGGGGGGCGAATCCCAGAATGAGCAAAGTTTCCCTAACCTAGCACCTTTGAAGACCTCTTGTAAGCTCTGCTGAGTCTCTAGGTGCATTCAAGTAGTAGTTTTGAGACAGGGAGAGCCGATGCCCACTACACGTGCAATTTCTCACTCTAGCATAGCGGACACCGAGTCTTCGTGTTAAAAAGTATTGAAAGGGTTTTCTGGCGAAAATATATGCTAAGCTAATATGAGCGAACATACGAGTCTCAGGAAGAGAAGATTCGATCGCTGGGACAAGAGATTTATTCGCCTGATGTTTCAACATCAGTCGCGGATTCTTCATCACAGAGAACGCACAGGCCCTTGCATCGTCTTACGCCAACACCGGGGAACCAGATGGCTGAGCAATCATCACGTCTTATTCCATCACGTGTAATGAAAGTTCAGCAGGCCAGAGCCAGCATGTCGGCAAATAAGCACTTAACACATATGAGGGCAATTATCGTTTATTGTCGTTATTTGGCATAAGTGTGCAGTAATGACTCTGTCCCAAAAATATTGCAACTTTCCGTGTGTGTCTTACCTGTTTCTGCTAATGCTTTCTGTTCATTTCTCTGATGAAGTATCCGCGACGGATGTCGAAAAGTCCCAGCGATCAAATATTCTTCTTGATAAGCTATGCTCCCCTACGGAAGTGAGTGCCTTATGTTAAAGTGATCGAGGTCGGAGAAGTCGCTACTTAAATCTGAGTGTTGAATGGATAAAGTTTACTCGGATGCTGTAGACATCTAGCACAATCTACTTTTTATAAGGGATCAGAAAGAAGATCGTTAAAAAGCGCGCAGCCTGATGTGGCCTGAAAAAACTTACGATTAGGCTGGTCGATAATCTGTATTACAACCCTGCTTAATTTTGGTCTGCGAGTGATTACCAGTGTTTTGCAAACTGCGGCATTTTGCTTGTGACACGCGTTATGCCATAGACTTGAAGTCACAAATACATTTCACTTCGTAGAGGAATTTTGGCATGCATCTTACGTTGCCTTACCTGTGATATTCTCCTGTTTTACTGAGTAATATACGCGCTGGACTGTAATATGATTCTGCAGGTTTCCAGGTTAGTGCCCCTCATCCTCATCGTCTTTTTAAAATGGACCACCATAAAACGCATGATGCCGACTGACTGACTGACTATTTGACTTATTCTCCGTTTCGTACATTGTAATATTCGAAAAATGCTAAAGAGGGAGAAATATGGCTTATTTGGAAAGAAGCATTCCTGAATCTTTAGCAAAATACCTTCCTGCATTCATCGTGGATAAACAAAATGACACACGAAATAGATAGCGTCAGACTATAACATACGCGCTACATTGCATGCAAACTGAGACTGTTTTCACCAGGAATAGGCGCCAATTAATTCAAGGCTAAATAAATATCAGGTTTTACTGCGTTCTACTGGACAAATCAGTTCATAATTGTAGTTCAACCAAGCAATGAGAAAAATAAACTGGCATAAAATTTATAAAATAGGCCCCGTAGTGTATAAAAAGGCAGCTTCGGACGTTAATAGAGAGCATCAGAAATAGTGGCGCAATTTCAAAAGTCCTCTGAGGAGCTTCAATTTCAGTAAAAGCTATTAAAAGTGTTGAGTTGCTCATCAGAATAACGGAAAATGTTAAAGACCGCGGTAAGGCATGACAATAGGAACCCCCACCGCCAGCTAATACGGGTGACTTTGAACAAAACTTCGGGAAGAGTTCATATTAGCTGGCAACACCCCTAATAGTAACTCTAACTTAAACCGGTCCCCCAGCCTTACCAGTAACACTATTCACTCTGGAAATTAGCGCGGGGCCTCAGAA